ATACCACAATGTCAATAAAATATATAATACCAGCTGATATGAAAAATATAGAAAAAGATATTATTTTATAAAAACTTAAAAAAGTAATTTTTAGAAAAATGCTAATACGACGTTAAAGAATTTTTAGAAAGCAAGTAGAACGTAAGAGATTTTGTTTATAATACAAATTTAATTTCCAACTTTCTAATTTTATATTTCATTTATTATTCAATAAGATGTTGTGTATCTCATTTGATGCTAATCCATTTTATCAACGTCTTAGATTTTATTTTTATATTTTTGCAATGCCCTTACAGGGGTGTTGAGAACTGCCACTAGCTCTTAAGATCTTATGAGCTACAACATGATGCAATAAAGATTAGGATTATGAATTAACAGGACGATGTACACCCATACCCATATTTTACCTATACCCATAGTTAGGGTCACTAGCGACCTCCCTTGGCGCACACTCCGCAGTTGTACAAATCGTAGCGGCAAACGCGCAACTAGAGCCAAAGATCCTCGCTGTGAGCGGTATGTCACGCACCACGCCGGACGGGCTTACCCAGGATGCTAATATGTTTGGAGACAACTGTCAACAGTTAAAGGTCGGTAACTGCGAACTGGAACGCGGAACCGCAAATACGATCCTGAGTACATACATAACAACGTAATCTATTTGATTTCGAGATTGTCTTTGTCTCGTATTATCAAGCGTTGTACGGATATAATACTTTATGTTGGAGTTGCACATGTAGGTGCCTATAAGTTCGTGTAAAACTGACTTTCCGACAGCATACAATTAATTCTTCATTAGCAATTTTAATTCATTGCAATACAAATACTCAGTTCCCGAATTTGGTTTAGTATGGATTGCCTGTATAGTCAAGAAGAGCAGCACGTAATCTATGAACCGCGTTAACAGTACTGCGAGGTCATAAAAATGCACCGTGTTTACGGAGCCACAGGCCAATATCGGACCGACTGATTGCTTCTTTACTGTTACACGATAAAATTTTTATTAGATGCTCATAAAATGTACCGAGACGAGTCGCGGGCCAGTAGCCAATATAATTTCAAACTACCCTGTAACTAAAACCGTTTTAAATCTGAAATGGAACTGGTTTACATTTCCTTCAGCTGAAATACCAGGCACACTTCAAGCCACACAAACTGTCAGTTTTTATAACTACAGTTTGAATGATTTATAAATAACGTAAGGCCCAATTGTTCAGAGTGTTGACAGCAATGGTATTATACTTTTAGGTTCACTGGTTGACAGTATGTATAAACCCATTGTATATGCTAGGTGGCAATGATCTTATATACAAAAAAGGGCTAGGTGGCCATTTTGCAGAATTGACGTCTTAGGTACCTACCGTTTTTGTAATCAAACCACATAACCTATATATTCATTGCTAGGTGGCCAGTTTGGAGCCATCTTTAATTAACATCTTTAAAAAACTACGTAACCTAAGCCAATACCAAAACTCTAAAACAGCCATTCAAATGTTTAAATATTTTGTACAATCACGCCCGGCGCACTCCAGGTATTTAGGAGTGCACCCATGTTATAAGTCAAATTCATAAAATCGACACAAAAAATTCAACGCTCCAATGCGCAAACCGTCGAACCGTTCAAACCGTTTAGTAAACACCGAATAGGTTGTACACAAGTGAGGTACCTACAACAATTTTAATCGAATGGAAACGGAACAAAGTGAAAATGTACACCTCAATTAATCCAACGCGATAGTCATGTGTCATCGCTAGTAATATGAAGGTTATTTTGGGTACAACGTATATTGTAATGCGTAACGATTTCCTGTGGAACCAGAAGGTACCAGAAATGTTGCTGTTTCACAACTTACACATTTTGTAGCCGGTGCTGTACTCACATTAATATCATCGCCTATCCTTGTACAATATACACACATCAAAAGTGTCTAGGGATCAAGTGAATATTTTTAAAATAAAAATTATTTAAGCAATATTTACCAAATCCAGTCTTCCAGGACGACTTCTTACTTTAATGCTTATGTTTTATTTAACCGCTTACCCCTATATTTAATTAAAATAAACTAAAATTGATGTTTTTGCAAATTGTGGGAAAAAACTCAAATTAACGGCGTCAATTAAATGACAAAAAAATGGCGAAAATGATGATTTTGCTCATTTTTATTGTAAAGATAAGAAAATTAATAATCTGTATTTCCACCATTAACACGAATCACACAATTACAGCGATTTGGCATGCTTAAGATGAGTTCATCAAAATCACTTTGAGGAATGGCCGCCCATGTGTTTTGTAACAAGTCAAAATATTGTTGTAGAGTATGTACGGTATGCATATTCGGCACAGCTCTTCTTTGAAGCATATCCCATGCGTGCTCAATTGGATTGAGGTCTGGCGATTGAGCAGGCCACGGCAGAACGTTGATACGAGCTTCGGCAAGAATGCGTGTTACGACTCTAGCCGTGTGTGGACGTGCGTTGTTATGCATTAGTTGAAATGAATCACCCAACTGGCCTCGCAAAGGGATGATAACATCTGAAACAATCCTCTCTGCGTAAACTTGAGCATTGAGGTTACCCCTGATCCAAATGAGATCGGTTCTTCCGCCGATCCAAATACCGGCTCATATCATTATTGTTCCCCCACCATATGGATGAACTTCCTGACAATATCTCAAACGTTCATGACGTCCAGATGTTCTCCAAACTCGAGTACGTCTTGTATCCGGTCTCATACCGAAGCGGGATTCATCCGAAAAGCACACATAGCGCCAGTCTTCTTCCTCCCAGTTTCTGTGTTCGCGAGCCCATCGTAAACGGGTCCTGCGATTGCAGGGTGCAATAGGTGGAACTCTGAGCGGCCTTCGGGATCGCAGACCCACTTCACGTAAACGATTTCGGATTGTTTGATCGCTTATTAGCAAGCCTGAGGAGCTGTGGAGTCTCGTAACCAACATCATGGCGGTCATGGTACGATTCCGTCGAGCAGTATTTTGGATATACCGGTCCTGTCTGCGAGTCGTGATGCGAGATCGTCCTCCATGTCGCTCGGCCACGCTGCCCGTCATGCGATAGCGCGTCCAGAGGCGACTTATGACGCTCTGTGTAGTGTTAAGAGTGAAAGCCACAGCACGTTGCCTGGAACCAGCTTCCAACATTCCGACGGCTCGCATCATCACTTCTCGGGTTAAATGATGTCGTCTCTCCATAATAATGTAAATTGTTTCGGTTCCGATGCAGATATTGTAATGATTTTGTCATAACGCTATAACTCATTTTTATACAAAACCACATTGACAATCGATTTTCTTCTTATTATCGAATTTTAAACAATATTCCTTATTTAAATGTTAAAACTCACTAAAAAGTATCAATAGCGATACAAAAAAGTTAATATAATTAACCCTAATAGCAGCAATACTCTTAAACGTACTTGATCCCTAGACACTTTTGATGTGTGTAGTCCAAATTACTTTTTATTTGTAACATTGAATGCCAAGTTGATACGTCGCTACTTAAAAATTAAATGAAACAAGTGTTATGACTACTTTTACAACTTTTGGAAATTCGGATATTTTTTATCATTTCACTATACATACTAGAATAAACTGTTTCATTCACACATGTAAGTTCAGTAAGTGTAAGTAAAGCTCTTTTATATCGAGTTCTTAAGTTTTTGCAATTGTTACACATAAGAAATGAAGCTAAGCCAAGCTAAGGGCCCGAAACGTTGGTATGTTTAAAAAACAAATATCCGCGATTGAAATCGAAAATAGTTTCCCTTTTAGTTTCTTTCACACTTTCATCGATAAAAATACTTCTACTTTTGGTACTTTGTTACGCAGGATACGCATATGACATTTAGGTATTCATAATAATCGGAAAGCTGAACCTTAAAGTTGCAGAGACAATAGTTAGCAATTAACACTTCACTATTGCCACACAGTCCTAGGTAAGAGGAAAAAGTTAATGAATTCCTACAAACTCTATCCGGAATGCACTCAAGTTGGTTTTTTCATCATTGGACTGGAAATGGTTTCTTTCTTTCAATCATTACTTTTTGTTATGTTAATTTTTCAAATAATTTAGATGTAATTAAGTACATACTTTCCTGCTGAAATCAATTAAAATTGTATTCTAAAACTACATATTATGTACAAGGTTTACTTTTTGTACTTTTGTATTATTTAACATTAACATTCTTGCAAAAAGTAAGCTAATTATTATTACCTCGCAATATCGTGTTAATATCATAGTCTATTATTGTGGGTAGATCTCATAAAAGGACTCAATAAAACATAAAGCTTCGGACCGTGGCACTAGACTTCGGCTCGACTCGCCTCCAATAAAATACAAATAGACCCGATTGAAATGCAGGACGAACTGGTTGTTTACTTGATGCCGCACCGACCAAGGCAACTATAACCAAGATTGCTTTTTCAGTCTCCAATCACTTGTAAATAATTGTAGCGAAAATTAAAAATTGCTATTGGTTGCGCCTTAAGTACGCTTTTTTTGCTTTGCCAACTCGTTCTAAATTGTCTTTTGAACTCTATCTATGTGATATATATCCTAAATAATGCAATGTATCATTCAATATCATCTTTACATATTTTTGAATAAGCTTCTGTTATTTTAGAATCATTGTCAACAAGGAACCGTTCCTGAAAACTTACAGTAATTATGAGGCCATATTCATTCAATAAATTAAGTGAAATTTTATTGTCTACATATGTCACACTACTTAGTCTCGTTATAGAGTTAAAAGTCCGCTTCTGCGGCATTAGTACTAATATATCGAACGCTTTAACTGAAACGTCCATAACATTCGTAACGATCTGTGGCAATCAACAAGTCTTTAATTTACTCTCCAAAGTACATTAACGCGATAACAGTTAATCAATATTTCCTCGAAACCGAGGATAATCAAGTCAATATAAAGTATTAATCACAGCATTTGCAAACTGTGAGCCACACACCACGGCCAAGGTAACGCGTTGAAATGACGCTATAATGAACAAGTAAGTGCATTAACACGAAAGATGTCAATTATTACTGTCGTAAAAGAACATCTTCATGTTTCGGTTGTAATTTTAGTCATTTTCCTCAACTTGTGTCACTCATCTTCAAAAAAAGAAGAAGATGAAGGTTTGTTTGAAACTTTGGATAAACTAATACAACAAACTGAAGCCGGTAGAGTGTCTACCAATGATACAAGGAATAGAAACGATAGCAACGTTTACTACTTAAAAAACAATCCCCCTATAATACAAAAAATGAAACCCAAATCGTCCAAAAAGAAAACAAAATCGAAATCAAAGACAAAACATGCCATGACCACTACTACAACACTAAAACCTTCAACAGACAATGTTACTAAAAATGAAATATTAAACGAGACACAAGATATCAATAAAAATTTGGAAAATAATATGTTTAATGATACGCCAACAGAGGAGCTAAGCAGTAAAGAACAGAGAACCAATAATATGATAACATCTGTGAAAAACTTCACTAGTACACCAGTTTCTACAGAAGTTGTGTCATCAACTTCGCAACCAGAAAAAGTAAGTGCACGAAAATTACTGGATTATGATAATGTCACGTTTGACGCAACAACATCAAAACCCGAACTAAATAATAGTGAAATACACGCCGACAATGTATTATACCAGGGAGACAAAGCTAATGAGAACTTAGAGAGTGAATTAAAAAATAAAACTGAAGGCCCACCACCGGTCAGTGATGATACTCTAGCCAAAGAAGGTACTACAGCGAATCAGAGCACCTTAGACATACCACCTGCGACCGTAGATCCCAACAATGATATGTCATTTAGAAAAGCACTTAATATGTCGGAACCTGTAACGAAAGAGAACAACGAAAATTTAAATGATATATCGAACGAGAAAAAAGCACCAACAGATTACTTTCCACATTACTTAGATGCAAAAATCGAAAACCTTTTACACGAAGACCCCGATAACTTTATTAAATTACTATCTGAGAATGCAGAAAACATTAAGAGAGATTTGACCGAAAAAGAAATGATGTCCTTGGAAAAACCAGATGCTAGTAAACCCGACAGTCCCGAATTACAGTCAGAAGTACAAAGGTTAGTTAGAAAGATTCTCGTGTTGAAGTCGTTTAGTCGGAACCACTATGAATCAGGAGAAAAATCATTATCAAACGAGTATGATAAAAAATCAAGTGAAATAAGCTTCAGAAAATTTCCAAGTACTACAATTGTTCAGTCAAATCCACCACATTCCTACAACAGCCCAGTTTCAAATACTTATTATATGAAGGAAAATTACGTTCCTGTTCCTGTGGCAAATCCAATAATCAATCCTGTGCCTACGTTGCCAGTGGCAAATAATCTACATATTCATTATGGTGCAAACGCTTTATGGAACAACAATTTAGCGGCGATGTCGAGAACGCATAAAATAGCACATATCAGTCATCTGACTCGTCTAATTGACAATTTGATGGGAAGAGTTTTGTACCCTCCATTATTTAATGTTTACTATTAAGATGAGGTAAAAAATTTACACTGTTTCAAGTGCATTAATTTACATAATTAGTCAGTGCTTTGATAATGCAAGATCAGTCAGAAACAGCTAGTTAGTGAAGTTGGGATTCCAAAACACAAAGAAGCCATCCGCAATTCGCAGTCTAACTAGCGGGTAGTGCAGCGGACAAACACGATCAAACCGAAGTCCAAACTGCGCTCAAAGATCTAGTTAGCAGCGGGATGACTCTTCGGCTAATTGTCGTGTTTGCTGTTTGTTGTTGTGGTTAAGGACATGAGGATTTACAAATGTACTCGCGTTCTGATTTCTGCCTTTATACAATCACGAATTTAAGAGTTATTTTGTAATTACTATTTGTAAGTAAACAGACATGAAAATATTAAAAAGTATATATTTTGAATTCCCAATTGAAATCAATAATAAGTAAGACGATTTAGTGCATTATTTAATTCACCGTGTGGGAATATTAGAATTGACTTCACCACCGAAAACAATGTTTTAATTTCACGTCCAAATTAATTAGTGTAGTGTTACTGTACTGAAGAAGCAACTAGCATGTCTGCGATGTACAATCTCGGAGCATACAGCTGTTGTTGTTGAGTTATGGAGTCGGCGGGATGTTGGTACGTCACATTTCGTGATATTGCAATCTTCACTCTTCACTTACACTGCAACAGAACAAAGCTATTTCTTATTTTCATATTTTGTTTTGCTCTTTTAAATTTTGTTCATACTTTCTTCAATGTGGTCCTGATGAAATTTGAGAACCCGAACACGTTTTGGACATTAGACGACTGCTGAAAGCAACGAAATTCTATGTTCTGTACAGGAACCTGTAAAAAGTAAAAATATCAATAACTTTAGATTAACTAAACACTTATTAAATTTCAAAGAAAACTTTAAAGAAATTGTCTTTCAAGTCACCTTATAAGATACTGGTGTATTTTGTCGCTATAGATTTATTATATGCCACTAAGAAAAACTTTTTTAAATAACAAAGTTCTCACAAGTTCATATTTTTTACGTTAGAGTAACACTTTTAGGGGCGAAGGTCATAGGTTGTGCGTTGTTGGTACGATATTTTATTAAGTGAAATTACAAATTATTTATTTCTACGGAAATAAAAACTAGTTACTTACTTTTTTTTCTACCGTTTATTCAAATAAATCAAAGTCTAGTTCGAAGAAATAAAAAGTCGCCAACCCGTATTAAAGTTTATTTAGTGTAAGTTATAGGAAAATAACCGATTACCGATTATAAATAATACTGGATTTGTATAAACTCGTCCATATCTATAAACATCTACTGGAATTTAAATAGAAAATTAACGAATTGCACGTTGAAACGAATATTCTCAATAAACGCAAAATCAACCTGGCGAAATGGCGATTAAAGGTTACGAAAATACATTTGAATTTGAGAAAACGAGGGTTTTCGTTTCGATTCTTTGTTGGTGTTAGTTTCCACGTGCGTTGAGAAAAAAATAGTAAAAATGATTCCTTCAATCCTTAGTAACTCTTGAAGGTAATGTAAAGCGTAAAACCAAACCCCGACAGTTGAAAAATCCGCAACAGATTACGTTTCAGATTTTTTACAGACCCGGTGCGAAGTTACTAATGTTTGAGGTGTCGTTTTATTGCCTCTCGCCACGTGCCGCCCACCACGGCCCCGCTGCCTTTGCCAGCCGGGAAATTATTTTTCAATACTGACTGTTACCGTCGAACATTATAACATATAGAGATGGGATTGTTTAATAAACTAAATATATTTCATTTCGATCTATTTGTTTTTATACGTAACTTTGTTGAACTGGTATGTTTTTTTTATAAAAGCTGAATAATGATATCTGTAGGTTATTTCTAATAACGCAGTAAGACTGAGATTTATAAAACGAACTCTGTCTTTGACTAAACTACGCAAATTTAGCGAACTAAGCAAATTTTTCGTATTTTCGAAACGAACCTTGCTTAAGTTTAAGCAAGAAATTACGAAGTAAACTCAACGTTTAAATTAAATTCTCGCTTAAACTTAGGCAAAGTTCGTTTTGTAAATACGTAAAACTTGCTTAACTCGCCATCTTTGCTTAGTCGAAATCAAAATTCGTTTTAGAAATGTTAGCCTAGTGTGTGTTAGTTTAGTGTATTTTTATCGGAGTGAATGGACAACCGTAGGAATTTTATATGTTTTTGTTCATTTCGTAAATTTCATAAAGACAAACGCCACCGGTTAGGGGTCACATTATTTGAAAACAAATCAAAACAACATTTTTTTTAATTAACTGCGCTTACATATTTGTTCTCAACGGTAACGAACATACAATAAGTGAATGTTTACTTCGTAGCACCTCTAGTAACAATACAACTTAACACTCAGCGTGAGGTAATCCTTGAGCATGCATTTTCGTGCTAATCTCCATGAGGGGCTTTCAATACCGTTTCGTATATAGAAAAGTTTTGCAAAATGTTTGAAACTCCTCACCGGGACGCCCGGATGAAGTTGCTGTGTTAATGTATTTCCCCTTTTTGTATGAACTGCATACTCGTTAAATACAGACTCAATCTCTAAGAGGTTTTTTTTCCGATACGTCTAGCGTATTTTGTTAGATGAAATTATAGTCTAATGACACAACTTATACTACTTACTTGTATCTAGCCTATATTAATTATGTTACTGACAATATATATAATATTGAATAATATATAGAATACTTTTTTCGAAGTCGCTACAAAACATTGAATAATAAGGGCCGGCAGAAAGAAGTCTTTCAGTAGTAATAACGATTGTTAAAAAATAATCAACAAATAATAATAAAGAAATAGTGGAAGCACATTAAAGAGATCATTTATCTTTCACATTTACCTACATCGTCGTGGGTTCGATTTTTTCCGAGGGGACTTGGGCTAACGCGGTGTGCATACGACCTAAATCCTCTGTTTACAGAAGACCTGTGCCTTCTATTAAGACGCATAATAATAATGATAGCAAAGTAAGAAAACGCAATTAGGCCGACACCTCCTTGAATAAGGCAATCTTCTTTGTCTTCCTTCTTCTCGTAACAATAAGATAAGTTTTATTTTCGTCTAAGAAAGCAACACTAAGTGTACTATATGGTACTGAAAGAGAATGATGGAATAAAGTACTGTAACGTCAATTGTAAAATGTATGATAAAATATATTTAGATTTTTGGTACGTAGGTTATTCTAAAAGTTTAAAAAGGAATTTAAAATAAAGTACTGTTCGAAAATAAATTATCTCGAAACCAGTAAAGAAGTGGCCCTAAAGTTCCGTAATAGTTCATTTTAATCAGATGCAGGAAGTAAAAGCGAGCAGTCGAAATACAATAAAACCGGCTTCATTCAAGTTTTATGCTCTTCGCAGCGCGTCATTCGTACATCCACAATCGAGAAAAAGCGCTTGACCTGGGGTATGTCATAAATATGAATTACATAATTTGTATTTTCCATAGTATTCATGACGAAATATCTAGCAGAAATTTACTGCAAAGTTATAATAGAGCATAATATACACACATATATGTAGATACAAAATGTATGTTTATTTAAGAAGCAAATAAAAGCCCAGGGATGCACTTTGATACGTTTTCCATTAACCCACAAAGTTAATACGTACAATAATAATGAGCCACTTATGATCTTCTCCCGCAAACAAAGTAAATATTTACTTAGGAACTTATACGAATCCAATTTATTTTCCATTTCCGCACTTCATGAAAACTTAAATATGCTCGTGAGGTAAATCACTTTGAAAGCCATCCTTTTGATCGTGCCTATCTCTTTATGCAAAACTGTATTAAATTTTGATACCTCGAGTAATTTTTGTTTTCATATTTACTCGTATGTTACCACAGTGAGGACGCTAACGTAATTTAAAAGCTATCAATTCTTTCACATACGATTTTGAAAATTCTCCTACAATTTTTATAAATATTTCCTTTGTTTAACAACAATGTCGTTTATGTGTCTCGCGTTTAGCGAACGGAATCTTATCAGGTGGATAATACAAATCGCTGGCTTATCTTTTCTATAAGGAATGCCAGAGGACTTCCTTGCGTTACCCCTACTATTGTCCGCATAGTCTACTGTTGTCCGCATTGAGAGACTGGCGAGGAAACAAATATAGTATATGATTTTTTTTATGCTGGCAAAGGCGGCACGAACAAGTCGTGCGCCTGGTTGTAAGCGACACGCCTATCCATAACAGTTGCAGTACCACTTATAGCTTTGAATCACAAAAATATTAGGGGCACAGCCGTTACGCCCGCCACTCTGAGACATAAGTTGACAAGTCCCATGCGCTTGTAATTTCGCCAGCACCCTTACCCTTCTAAACCTTCGGAACGCAGTAATACTCACATTACTGCTTGGCTACAGAAATAGGTAACGTGGCAATATTTCCCTGGACGCATTCTTTCACAAAGAGCTCTACTGCTACTAAATACTATGTTGCAGATACTATGTTAACAGGTAGATAAATGTTTATTATATGTCTATACATACATAGACGCATGCTCCTCCGCACCTTCTGCTGAGCACTATAAAAAAAGTTTTGCATACTTAATAACGATTAATTTGAGCGACAATAAACAAAAGAGGCCTCCACTGAAGCGGAGAGGAGAAGAGTTGGATTGAAACAAGTCATAGGATTTTGTTATTTTTACCATACGTAGAGAGGTCAAATTAACAAAATTGTAATGGTTGCTAAGAACATTTCCTTTAAGTGTGTTTGATAATAGGTTTTACATACACATATATCATTACAGATATTACTGGCTATCCGGTTTTCAAACTAAACCATCAATCTCGCTAAAAATGAAAACATTTTATGTATCAAAGGGTTTCATAGTAGGAGCAATTTTAATAAGAATTCAAACGTTAGAGCGGGTTACACTTAGAGCGCTCCACTTAATCCGTATAAGCGAGTGAATCGGGAAGACATCATTTCATTACCCTCTGTCGTGTCATACTGTAGGGTATAAGGTACACAAAAGGTAATGAGTTTTGATATTATTTTAAAGTATACGACGTCATGCATTATGTCGTGACTTGTAGAAGAGACTTTAGAGGTAGCTAGATTTTATTATAAAAACATAAAAACAAATTAAGTAAAAGTGTATAAATGTATAAATCTACAAGAATCTCATGATTCAAAATTAGAAAAATATCTCAGATTGGACCGGTAAGTACTATTGAAAAAAACTTACTTTTAATTTTGTTGTACCTTTTTAATTTAAACATTTATGTAGGAAGGTTGCAATGTAACTAATACTGCAACAAATTAATTATTCAAGGTACACCATATTATTATAATAACTACAATGAATACTTATGACTTTTAATAAAGTACGATGTTACACACGAGCAAATTGTAAAAGAACAAGTATCAAGTATATTACATTCATGCCAAATAAAATTTATTCAATTTCCTCATTTCTCATGAAATCTTAATAAATCTATAAGTACTACAAGTTCACGGAGACATTTTAAAGTTCATAAACATTTTTGCTTACACAAATGTGAATATTTGTAGACGTGTCAATGAATAAATTGGAAAAATTGTGTCACGTAGGCGGAAATAATAAGCCCCGTCACATATACTGAAGCGGAGCGGTGGAGAGCTGTTTTTCATCACCCAACACTATTTCGTTGCTATAACATATCCATATCGCTTGTCAACATAACGATAAAGCTCTTCTACGCTAAGCATTGGTAGATAATGGCCTTTACACTGTTTTTCAATCAGATTGTACATTCATGAATAATGATGAGGATGAGAATAACAATGACACCTAATTTCGATGTATTGTTTACTTGATTGCCTTCATGTGTAACTCTTTTGAGAGACTATTATTTTATCAAAATCCATTAATAGATTTGAACAACATCATTACCGTCAACCTAAGCACAGCTAGGCAAAAGTCTCCTATAAAGAGTGGATTTAGACGATGCGTATTTGAGATTT